CTTTCCTGCCTATGCAGGGGGTCGGACTCGATGATCTATTGAGGTCCCTTCCAACCCTAACATCTATGAATCTGTGAATCTCAACTAGGGTACTATGAGATCTTTTGAAGGGTGCTGTGAGTACAATGAGATAAATTCAGGCTCAAGCTCAGGCTCATCCAAGCCTGGCCACTGCCCAGCCTCTCTGCAAGGAGGTAAGCACTGTAATAAGTGAGTTTTTTAAATGGGGCACTGCTCAATTCACAGAAATTATGGCAGAGAACCTTGAGTCAAGTGATGGGTGCCTCAAGTCTCAAAAGGTTGAGAACCACTGGTTTAGATAAACTCTGAGCAGAGACTGTTTGACCCTTGGGCTTATTTCTACAGGCTTTAAGCAGTGTAACCATTTTACACATAAAATTATAGCTTGATTCAATTCCCAAATGAAATAAATGGAAAGCTTTATGCTAACTTGAGTGAGTGCTAGATCGGGCCTTGAGAGCTAACATCTAAACATCTAGAGCAAACAAAAGTAAAAATTGCTAAGGGAGTTAAGAGCTTAACTTCTATATCTAAAGCATATAGGTCACCCAGGAACCTATATTTAACTAATGGGGCTCTTGCATCAATTATGGGATTTTTTTTGAGGGGTGGAAATTGGGGTTGGGTTTTTTTAAGAAGTTCACCCCAGGCCCATATAACTTAGACTCTCCTGGTGAAAAACAGGGAGTTCTCAATATTCAGGTCTTGGATTTCACTCGTTAGGCTGATGTTTTAGCTATCAGGGATGCCCTATTCAGTGTTGGATGAATTTCCCCGCCACATGAGAGCCTCTTGCACAGCAAAGGGTTTTGTTGCAACAGAAAAACCTCGGTGCAAGAGAGTTCCCACCATTTGAATGCAAATTTGTGTCCCGCTATTGGCCAGTTCTAAATTATTCCTACGTGGCGGCTAGTAATTGGCTTGCTAGCCGTTTAAAATTTCGTGCAACTTCCGCCCAAGTCGGAGAACTCTGAGCACGCTGCAGAGTGCCTCTAAAGAGATCTGACTTGCTGCTGAGCTGGTCGATAGACTGATCACCTATCGATTCTTCTCCCCGTCGCCGAGCGCAATCCTCGACGTACCCTTTCCCCGCTGGCTTAATTTGTGGACGGATTAGCTGGCCTGAGCCCTGCCAGCTGGAGCAACTCACATAGTTGTTCAAGCGACTGGACCACCTGCGTCACGGCTACAAGCGGCGTAAGTAAAGTTTTTTGCAACCACTAAGCTTTGTCTGCCTCTCCATTCACCAGCCCGCCTAGCGACTGAGTAATTTCTAAATCACCTCGAGTCGGCTCCGGCCGGCCGAGACAATAACAACCTAAATAGGGCTTCATTAGTTTTGAAAACACCAAGATCAACAGTCTACAACTGGTGGTGGTTCATGAACAACTAACACAAGCCAATAAGAAAGTGAAAACCAGAGGAGGTAGCCAGGCTAACTTTTAGAAATTGCAAAGACACTCCAGGTGGTTTAGGGAGTTAAAAAAAAAAAATAGTAAACTAGAAAAAAAACAAGGGCCACCGATCTGCTGGACTCAAGAGACCTGGAATCTAGAAGGAAAACTTGATTTTAGGATAGATCAACTTTCTTCCCCACTGACCTTCATGAACAACACCCCCCCACTCCCAAACTGATGTGTGAGGCCACTAACTCTCTACTTCGTATTCTTTGATACTGTTTCCACTATAAAAATTAAAGAATCTGTTAAACAATGGAGAGGAACAGGTTCGACCACTAAAGTTAACTCGTTTGTATATATTTTAAAATCAAATATATGATATGTATCATATATAAATACTATATATATTTTATCATCTCCCCTCCTCTACCTTGCAGGTCTCCCAATGTTACTTACCTTCTTTAGCTTTTCTTTCAAAATCCCTTACTTCTAGAACTCCTCCTTTTTCATAATCTGAAAAGAAAAAAATGAGAAAGTGTCATCATCACAAGCCTGAGAAATTTCTGTTCAAGTGAGAGCTTAGCCCAGCACTGAGGCAAGGGATGGATCCTGTGCAGAGAATAGGCAGAAGTTCAAGTACAATTCAGATGCACAGAGCAGAGTACAAGATAGTGAAAGCTTCATTTACTGAACAAGGACAAACTGCATGGAGCTGACTTACCTATCATGTTGGTGTCAGCAGCTCGATCATAGTAATATGAGAAGGCATAGAAGGAGCTCCTGCGAATCTCATCTGGCTGGTGTAGTTTTCCTTGTACGACCTTCACCACTTCTGCATAGCAAGGCTCAAATCCAGTTTCCCCTGCCAGAGCAAAAACACACAGGGATGAAGGTAGATCGGGTCTGGAGGAACCAGTAACAACAGGATGAGAAGGGACAGCAAGAACAAAAAAACTAAGGGAGAAATTAAGGAGGAAGGCACAACCCATAAAGGTGAGGAGGCAGCACAGTGCAAAGGGGTGAAGAGTTTAGATATTCTTCCCAAAAGAAAGTTCTCTTCCATAACATCCCAGCAACTCTCTTCACTCTATTCCAGCCTTGCACATGGACACAGTCAGGACCTGCCCACCCTAGTGCCTGGTCCTGTTAGTACAGCACTTATATGCAGAGCTATGTGTGGATCCCTCAGAGATCATATTGCAGAGGCTTCCATGGTGTGAGGGAAGCTCCCATTGTCAGACTTTGCCATCAGGGACCCCATGTTGTACAGAGCCACTGTTATTAGAAGGCTTAAAGTTTCCTTTCCTTCCCCATGCGTTATCACTTCAGGGGTTCTGTTCCAATGACATAACCCCAAACTTTGCCCTCAGGGTCTCCATAGTAGCATATACCAGTACCAGTCATCAGTATCAATACTCCTATATTCTCCTACTTTAATCACCTGATGGTAGCAGTTTCATCTACTAGGTATCCTGGTCACAGACAGGAGTACCAACAGTCTTCCAACTGCAAGAGGCTTTCACCCACTGAATATGATACAACAGAGATGACATCACCTCAGTAAGGTCAGTTCTACCCATGAGTTTTATGAGCTCAGTGCCCATAACACTGCAATGGGATAAGTAGCTCCAAAGCTTCCCCTGCTAAAGGGATCTAAAGCATTTTGCACTGTTAAATGACAACTCCTACAGGGCCAGGTGGCCTCATCATTTCCCTAAAGCCTTGAGAGACATCTTGCAAAAGAACGTGACAACAGAAAGAGTGCTAAGAAAAACCTTATCTCCAGGGTTTGAGACTTATCTTGGCACCCAAATCATTGTCTAGCAGAAGCAAGTTGCCTCAACTTACCTTCTCTGTTGCCACCATACTGATATTTCACTCCCCCAAAATGCCATTCTGCTTCTAGCTGCTTTGGCAAACAGGAGCTTCGCAACATCTGCCCATCCACTGCTGGAATGAAACCACAGAGGGAAGTCAAGAAGTGCAAGGAACCCCCCACACACGTACCCCACCCCATAATCTGTGAGCAGCATTCCAGATGAAGGACAGAAAAACCCAGTCCCTTATGACTGATCCAATGGGAATTATAGATTAGGAAATCCAAGTCACTACATGCTGCATAAACTGATTTGACATTAAGAGGAAATCTCATCTTTAGAATATGTTCCATCCTGCAGGATACTCTGCAGTTGGGCTTGTCATCTGATAGTGAAAAATATATTTGTGGATAGGTCCATCAACCCAAAGATATAGAGAAAAGGGAGAGATCAAGGTGGAGGGGAGACATGAGAAAGGGGAAGCAGCTACAAGATTAACTCCACCTCTCTCTTCAAGTATCCAACCTGGCTATTTCACCTTAACATACCTTTTATTTCCAAGGCTCCAAGCGTTGCTAGTCTGGCAGCCTTCAGTCCAAAACCCAAATAACTGCAAACAACAAAACAACAATAACACTGCAGTTTTGTCCTGGCTCATCTGACATGCTTCACCCACAGCCAGTCCCAAACCTGAGCATGTGCAAACTAGGTTCCCTTTCTGTGCCTCCAATCCCACCTACCCCCACAACATTTTAGAGCTTCTCTCTGGCAAAAGAAGAAATCCAAGTGCCAAGAGAATAATGCAAAAACAGGTGTACAAGGAGCCTGAATCTAGTTCCTTGGGTAAAAAAGAAGCAGCTGTTAAATAACTCAAAAAAGAAATTACATTAATTTCTGAGATACAAAATAGCAAAGACTGTGCAGAAGCACTGCGTAGAAAGGGGGATTAATATAAATATGTTTTTTCAAAAGAATGTTTTTTCCTCATCTTTTCTACAGTGCTCATCAATACTGTATGCATGATACACAAACATCTTTATTTTCACAGCACCTCTTGGGAATGAGAATGTATTATTATCCCATTTTACACAGAGGGAACTCAAGGACTCAGTGTTGGGAATTACAATGCAACAGAACCTGGTTAATACAGTCACAATGACCGCAAGGTACAATATGATGAATAAAGAGGGTAGGAGTGAAATATTTTTGGTAAAAGAGCATAACACAAAAGGAAGGCCAGCCACAAGCATCTACTATAGGTAAGGGAACAGGATAAAAAATAATTATTAAAATACTGCCTTAGTGGTCAATGGCGAGGCGTGACGCAGCTGCTGTTCACTCGGTCTAGAAGGGAACAACAGAAACAGCCTCAACCATGAGTGCCAAAAGTGAGAAGAATCCTGGCAGCATTTCAGTACAAAGAGACAGTGAGTTTAAGAACTGATTTCCCCAAGGGAGATGGCAGCAGCTTGCTCCTCACCTATGAGTGTAGAGCTTGTACGTGCTATTGAACATTTCAAATGAGGAAAGAAAATCCACAGGGGTTTGCTCCAAGGTTTCCTAAAATGAAGTAAATGGAAACATTTTTTTAAATCTCTGACTCTCAAAAACATCTGATTTTAATCATTACATACAGAGAATTTTTACTTTCCTTACAGTCTTTTATATAGTGCTCATCACTACAGCATGCATGCTTCACAAACACACACATTTATTTTCACAGTGTCCCTTGGGAATGAGGACCTAGTATTATTCCACTTTACATAGAGGGAACCGAAGGACAAAATGAAATCCAAAAGCATTAGCTAATTTGGGGGATCTAATTTCAGATGACAGTTTATGATGTAGCACTGCACACATTCAGAGCACTGCTCCCATTGATTTCAGTTGCAGCTGTAAGCATTCTACACTTCAGCATATCATGCCAAAGTCGCAAGTTATGGACAAATTAAAAGTACCTAATTTGTGACCAGGGTGAAAAGTGTGATCTAGATGACCTGCCACATACTGCAAGGAACTCTGTGGCAGAGCCAAGGAGAGAATCCAATTCTCCACAGCTGTGTTCAGTTGTGAGCTACCCAATCATCCTTTTCTTCCACTAGTGGTGGGTTTTTGGAGGGCTCCGTCTCTCTCTCAAAATTGTGACTTTTTATTAGCAGGGATTTTTGTCTCCAAAAAATGAGTTTTGTGCTTAGCACTCTAAGGCTGACAGTACCCACTAGAACTAGGCAGAATGTACGTGCAGGAAATGTGGACATTTCCTCCATATCGCTTGGCTAATGCAAATCAGTCCTGATCTGCAAAAAGCCCTTTCAGTTCTTCATGAAGCCCTTTCAGTTCTAGACTCCTTTTCTCAAAAAGTTCCAATGAAATACCTCAATGAGCCCTGCAGTCCCTCCTAGCCCCTTCATATTTCTGTCTCTGAACTAAAATCCCCTGGTTTGTAACAACCACTGCTGTTCTAGTCCTGGGCCCAACTTAAGCTGGTATTACCCTACAAAGAGAGCATGGGCCTGTTACACCTGAGTCTCTGTTGAGCAAGATAAACTTCTGTATCATGTTTCAACAGAACACCATTGTGCAGGACTGAAACATATTGATATGAAATAATGTTACTTTACAGGGAACAAATACTATTAGGGAAATTTGTGTGTCCTAGAAGCCAGGCTCGTCTGGGCATGGGAACCTTTAGAAAAGATTGGATAGGTAGAAACCCTAGCTCTTGTGCATTTCTGAACACATGACTATGCCTAAAACACTACAGCTGATGTTAACAATTGATAAAGCACTATTCTACTACTGAGCACCCAGATGACTTCTGTAGGGAAAACACAAGCTTGGGTTAGGGTTAAAATGTTCCCAAAGAGTTTAGATAAAGAACTTCTTACAAGCTTGAACAGGTGTGGACTGTCTCTCTAGACACAAAAAAGAGGTGAAGGGATAAAATGTGGCTTAACAGAGATAGCCTGGTTATGCTGTATAAAGGGCATTCTCTCCTGTCCTTGAGGGAAGGACACAGACTTGACTCTGAGTTCCTGATGACATGCAAAAAGCCTCCTCAGGAACCTTAGGCATTTGTAAGGTTTGAGGTCTAGCCAGCACTGAGAGGCTCTTCTAGCCTGGGCCTAGATGACACAAGCTGTTTTCCTTTGTTTTCATCCATTTTGTTTTTCTCTTCTTCTTCAACAGGATCTTATGTTTACAAGCTGTTATTATCTGACTGTCAGTATGAAGGAGAGCAGGTGCTGGTGCTGACAAAGCAAGCCCTCAGAATACCTGGGCACCAAGGCCCACTGTTATGATGTTACTGCACACATTTGTGTCCATTGCTCACCTCAAAGCGTGGCAGGAATGTGATTTGAGTTGAGGCTCCTCCCAGGTCCAGAGTCCCAACTGTCTGCTGGTTCTGGCCATATAGCTGCCCTGTGGAAAATAACAGACTAGCCCACTATATCACATTGCAAAATTGGAGACTGCTGTTTCATGGAGACTGTCATGTTTTCAGTGGTTCACACCTCCAGGGGAGGGCTTATTTGGCCTTACAGGTTCGATAGCCAGAAATAGACACAGTGAAGATGGAAATCACAATGTAAACTTTGTCTCAGTAATATACTGGGGTGATATCTGGACAACAGCAGAAACAGAAAGGATGGCCTTTTCCTTCCCCCTCCTTACATGCACACATACTTGATTCCAACTTCATTTCCATAGAGATGAAGGGGTACATCTCTACATATCCAACACACTGTGTGGAGGTAAAATCTAGCAGGCTATAGAAGAGGATATGTACAATCCCAGGATTTAGCTAATTATTGGAGAACAAAAGGACGGAGGGGCAAACACTCTGAGCTCCAGCTCCAACTTCTGCTATTTCCTTTCAGATAGGCACAGCCTCATCTTCCAGTAACTCAAATGTTTCCTGGACATCGCCTCTTTTCTCTGTTACCAGATTGCATTCTCGGAACTTATTTTGGGCTAACTCTTATCCTGCCTGGCAAGGTTTAGGTACTAACAATTCCCCCATTACTCTACTTCTGCTGTTCAATTCCCAATGGGTTTTAAACCATTTTACAACCCTTTTCTCCCTCTTTCAAAAAGACTGTCACAAGCATTCCCCAGTTACAAGGCTTGGGATATCTGTGCTAGATCTAGCTGTTTGGACAGCTGTGCCTAGCTAGTACAGCCCTGGGCAGGGTCTCAGAGCCCTTCAGCCCAGCATTCCTTCTTCCTATTAAAGAAGCAGTGCTCCAAGCAGGATTTTGCCATTTTCTGCACAAAAAAATGCCATGATTTTAGCTCTGCTTCCACAATGGAGAGGGGAGAGAGAATAAGCCAGCTAAGGCAGTGAGGGACAGAGGCCGAATCCCTTCTGTGGAAGTGATTCAGTTCAGGGAAAAATCATCCAGAGTTAATTACCTGTCAGAAAATTCACAGTGATCCAGGCTAAAATTCCTACAAAAAAGGGGGGAAAAAAAAGAATCACTGAAACTGCTATTTGCCACCCCTTCATCACCTTTGGACAGGTCTGTCAGGATTTGTATAGCATTAGGTGCTTGTCAGATAAACAGGTGCCTGCCCCAAACATCTCAGCCTATTTAAACTTACCACAGAATGACACATGTAAAAGATGAGACTCACATGAGGAGACAGTGAGGAGCGGTTTATTTGTGCCTGTGTGTAAGCAAGAACTGGGCCCACAGTCATGATGATGACACAAACAGGCACAGAATTAAGGCAGCGCATGCAATTTCCTCTGGGCAGTAGCTGACTTTTATGAACGTAAATCCCTCACCTGAAAAGTACATACACATCCCATCTCAAAACACACGCCTATGCCTAAAATAAAACAAAACTGATGTGGAGTATTGATAATGTATTATACTACTAAGCACCCAGGTAATCTCTGCTGGAAAAATCCAAGCTTGAGTCCAGGGTTAAACTGTTTCCAAATAGCCAAGATGTATATTAAGTGTCTGTACACAGCAAAATGTGAACATCTCTTTGTCTACTCTGGCCACTGAATTTGGCATTGAGACTGGGAAGTATCTGGGTAAAGACCACTGGTGAGAAGCCAGCTGAAAGTAGTGGAGGTTTGGGAAGGAAACTTCAACAATAAAAACTGCTGAAGGCTCTACTGCATTCTGTTGGGCCTAACTAATACACTAACTATTTCAGAGAGACAAACTTTTATAAGCCACAGATTACTGTCTTGTGAAAGCTTATGCCTCTGAATTAATCTATAAGGTACCACTCTGCCCTACCACCTTCTATATGACTTCAGACTACATGGCTAACTACCTCTCTCTACATGCTATTATCACCCTTATCATCCCTATCTGTCCTTCCTTCCATTATTTGCAGACTTATACCCTTTCTCCATTGCCTGTCAGCTCACCTCACTTAACTATACATCAGTTTGTTCTGCAGACTGATCATTTTGTCTCATTTTCACAAAGCACCCATCAAATTGGCAATACATATGTGGCAATGCAATGCTCAGTACTGAACATAACATCCCATAACACCATCAGAAATATATAAAGACATCTTATTGCCTCCCTAGTCTGTGAGATGAAGCTTTTGGATATACAACCAAAATTCAGATTGGCCCATTTTGTGGCTATGTCATATTGCAAATTAATTTCTACATTGCTGGCCACTTTACCCCATTATCTTTTGCAGCCATTCCTCTGCTTTTGTTTCTTGGCTACTTGATTAGCTGCAGTTTTCCAAGATGAATCTTGTTTTATTACCTGCCCAGGTTTCCAGTCCCTCATAGGTTTCTATGTATTATTTCTCTCCTCAGTAGTATTTGCAATGCTTCCAAACAATTATTTGCAAAATTCATTAGCTGGTCTTTTACCTCATGTTTTGGATTGTTAATGAGACATGTAACAAAATAAGTCCTGAGAGCAATCTCTTCAGTGCTTATTTGGCACTTTCCAATGGTGTCATACTTTGCTGCTTGCCCACTTTAGCCTGTCAAAGATGGCAGATTACTGTACAATCTTTACTCCTACCACCACTCATGGGCAAGCACTCAACTGTTCAGGCTCCTTGTATTGTAGATTTAAAGATGTATGAAGCAGTCACCCTGCCTATTTTTGTTCACCTAGTACCAAATACAGGCTTCTTCTCTGGTAGGATTCTCTATACATCATACAGTGTCCTTATTAACTCTTTGCTTGCCTGCATTTGTAGCTGAAATAGCTACCTGGGTAGTTGAAATTCCACGAATGCAACTGTATCTGGTGGTTCCAAATATCTTGAGAGCTAGTCATAGCCTGTTCCTTCCTTCAGTCCAGGGGACTATTTCTCATTCCTTCTTGCTTTCAGAGTTATTTCTTTCCCTTTTGCTCTCCCCACTTTTGCCTTCTCAACACCCACCTTCATAACATCCATCCATGATGCCAACACTGTTGTCTGGAACCAGAAATGGTGACTTCTCAAAGACTTCTCTCACCTAAGGGAAGAGCAGAGATTATTAAATTGTCTGGGCCTGGGGTCTGGCTGTGTAACGAAGGAATTAGACAAAGCTTCCCCTTCCCTCCCAGGCTATAAGCAGTAAGGCAAGAATGTCCTTAGCAAAGCTTTTCCATCCTTCTCAGGATGCCAGAAAGAAAAGAAGGGCACATACTGGGTCCCCTCTCCACATACCATCTTGCCTATATCAAGGCAGCAGGATCTCAAACTCATAGCAGGAGGGTTTTGGGGCCTGTGAGTTGTACACCCTTATGGAATTACAGCTATTTTTCCCACAGCTGAACTCTGGCATGGCAAAGAACATGGAGAAATGAACTGTGAAAGATGCTGTGTGAAAGACCCCACTACTGAACAAAGACAATCCTTGGTATCATTACCTCCACTACTGAACAAAGACAATCCTTGGTATCATTCCCTGAAGGAGCAGAGCCTGGGCTTTCTGCTCCGATAGCAGCCGCAGTCCAGCAGTAGCTTTCAACACCACTGGGGTCTTCTTCCAGTGACTTGGTGGTACAGCTTCTTTGGCCATTTCCAACAGTATTCTGACAGTTTCTGCACCCTAAAATTAAATGGAAGCTGTTTTTCCACCCCCCCCACACACTGTTTTCTCTGTTGAGCAGAAAGCAGGATTCACTTCAATATCACCTCTTTCATCTTAACTACTAGACAAAATACAGAGCGAAGGGCAGTACACACAAAAGGCCAGCAGCATGCTCAGATATCATAGTGATAGCCCCCTCAGAAAAACCAGAGAGAGATTAAAGAAGGCAGATTAACCATCAAGCATGAGGAGGCAGCTGTTTACTGAGCTCTTGTTAGAAGAGGGAATTTGACTTGTTTGCTCATGGAATTTTAAGTTTTAAGGAGGGGGGAGTCAAATATCTTACAAATCTTGAAGTCATGCAATATAATACCACTGTTTTTTCTGATGTAATTACTGCTGTAAGAGGCAAGGGAGAAGGAAGGGCGAGGGTATTTGTGGATTTCCACTCAGTGCAATGTAACAGTGAAATGAGATAAGAATGCCAAGTTGGTGAATAGCAAACAGTGTGATTAATTTCAAATGGTGAAAATGGAATTGTACAAGGAACTGGATGAACTAGCACAAAGTCTTCAATTACTTAGTATATTATAGCACTTTGTGCAGGGTAGCAGCAGTGATCATTTCTTTGTGAAATATTTTGCTGTTCCTTTATGGGCAGTTTCACTCCTCTGCAATGTTACCATCTGGTAAAACTGCAGGAAGCTGATTACTACTGACATGGAAGCAGCAGATAATTAAAAAAACCATTCAACTCTTGCCTGATATTTCATGTTCACATAGTCTCCCTCAAAATGAATTCCTATAACATTAAATTAGCAGGAAGTCATCAGTGCACCAACTACTCTATCACAAAAGTCAGAGATCATCAGGGAGAGAGGAACCAGGCTGCCATTCTCCATCATGTCCTCCAGCCTGTGCACAAGGTCATATGTGGTTTCTGAACCCTCTGGCAGCCCTCCCCAGCACTGACTCCATATAGCAAGGTGGCAGGATTCTTCAGCTGCCCTATCCTGTTGATTATTGCTGCCTCACTAAGATAGCCATGGCTCCTTAGATATCACTTGAATGTGACAAGGGTGAGATTAGCTCTCTAAAGAGAAGAAAGAGCCCTAAGGAAGGTTTTTGCCTTCCTCTCCAGCAAAACCTTATGACTATTTGTTACTCACATTTTGCGTTAATAAAACCAAGTCACAAGAGAAGGTAACCATGTTTCTTTATAGTGAATGTTTATTCAGTCCATCTGGTACTGGGTTTGCACTTTACCACTTCATAAAGTCTTGTCCCACTCTTTTCTCTTTAAAGCTGAAGCACACATATTCACTGAGTGGCCTGACAACAGACTCACAGATGTATTACACTGTGGGATAAAGTGGTTTTTATGTACCAGCCCAAGTTTCTTGCTGCAGAGAGTAGGATGCTGAACAATGGCTTGAAGTTGCAGCAAAGCAAGATTAAATCGGTTATCAGGAAAAAAAACTTTTTCACTATTGAAATGGTGAGGCAATGGAATAGACTGCCTAGGGAAATTGTGGACTCTCCAAAACTGAAGGTGTTTAAGAAGAGGTTGGACAACCACCAGTCAGGGATGATATAGGCCTAGCTACACCTATGTTCTAGCATGGGTATTTCCCATACTTCTGGGCTTGGCTGGCTGCCTCCTCCCTGCCTTTCTGCTACATGTGTCAGGGTGTCTGTAAGTCTTCCTCAGAGGCACTGGGTCTCAGCTGCAGACAAGACTGGGGATTTAGACCCAGATGTAGGGGGAAAAGCAGGGTGCCAGTGCTCCTACTGGGACTTAAAGCCAGAGGTTCCTGGCTAGAGGATCTAGCCCCTCTGCTCAGGGTCAGACCCAATCACCATAGCTGCGGTCAGGAAGAAATTTTACCCCACTGTCAAACTGGTATGGCCTGTGTGGGGGTTTGTCTTCCTCTGCAGCAGGGTGTATGGCCCTCTCTCTACCTGAGATTTCTTGAGGGTATATTAACAACCTTTCATAGAAGCAGGATGCTGGCTGCCATGGTTCCCCTGCTTGACTTGTGGCAGGTTAGGGTGTTATTTCTTGTGTTGTGTCAGGGTTGATAGTATTTTTATGAAGAGTTTAGATTATGGTTGTATGGGATGGTTTGGATAGAGATGATCCTGCCTCAGGCAGGGGGTTGGACTAGATTACCTCTGGGGGTCCTTTCCAGCCCTAATTCTCTATGATTTTTATGAAAAGGAATGCAAATAAACCAAGTGCCTGTACTTCTGGCAGCTTAACATTAAGAAGCGTGCCCAAGGCAGAATGTGATGGGAAGTAGATCAGGTAGGCAGAATACAGAGATCAAAATTACTTCTTGTTTTTGCTGACACTTGCCAGGTGTCTGTGAAAAATACAAGGAACCCTGGGAGGCACTAGAAGATTGGTACTAGACTGATTGTCTAATTCATAGTTCCTATGAGTGATTCCATAATCATTTGCCCATCTCTAGATCTTCCTTCCAAAAATTGTACCACTTCATAAAGAATGAACTGGTCTTCACAACAATTCTGTGTGGTAGGTGAATACTACCCCCATTTCAGAGATATGGAACCAGAGAGGCAGAAAACTAAATGACTATACAAGATCACACAGTAAATCTGGGGAAGAATCAGAGAGAAAATTCTGATCTCTTAACTCCCAAGTTTTAGCTCTCAAGATTATCCAAAGAATTACTGTCTTGCTGCTGTTGGAATCTTCAACCAAACATTCCTTAACAAGCACGTGCATTAAATTTTGAAACTTGAATGGTTCAATATAGGGTAGCAGTTCCCAATTTTTTTCTCCTAGTAGAACTGACCTCTGACTGGAAATATGAATGGGAGTCATCCTCCATACCTCAAGTATGTTCCCTCTTTTCTCATCCCCCATTTATTTCCACTTTCCTGTTTTCTCCGTTCTTTTCTGAATCTGTTCTCTTATCAGAAATCAGAAATCAGTGTCTGATTTCCTTTCTCCTCTGTTCTCCACTTACCAGAAGGCAAAACTCATGTTCAAGCTTGGGATGAAGGATCACTGATGGCTCAGTGGGTTAGGCCACCTGTATTCTTGCAAATATTTCATGGGCAAGTACCATGGCAACAGAGAAGAGAAACTGGGTTGTTGCCTGAGCCTGCAGGCTGTTTTACTAGCTGCTTCCACGTGGCTGATTCCATAGGAGTTGCTGCACAAGTATAGAGTCAGGTGAGTGGCTTTAAATAATGTGTTCTGGTTTTAAGTTAGGCCAAGGGTAGATCAAATTTAATCAGCCTCCATTCCCAACTCCTCTTCTATGCCTCAAGACCAAATGCAACAGCAAGGTGTACATATGCACAGACACACACACCTTTATCTTCCCAGCCCATGGTGAAATGGATGTAAGGGTTTGTATTTAACTTCCTTGTTTATAAAAATGATAAACCTACCTATGGAACCCTGAAACTGTGTGACTGTTTTGCAAAATATTTGCATTCTGTGCGTCTGAAAATGACTCTTACATGCTTTAAAGCTTCTACACTGACTTTCAGAAGCAAAGCTTATTAAAAGACAATTGCTCATTCAAGCTTTGCCACATGCAAACTTTAACTTTTCATGGTTCATGTCTTCAAGTTGTTCCTGAACAAAACCCTCCCATTTTTCAAGTTAGCAAAACACGCTTTTCTTCTTAGTAATGGAAACTGAACAAATGTTTCTTCAACATTTCCAAGAAAAAAAGATCACTTCTGGGCTGAGGCCAATCCTCAAAGATGTCATCCCACAAGGAAAAATTAAGAAGGTTATTAGTGGAAAATGGAGCATTTAATCATGCTAAGCAGGTTAGACAGATACTCTGCTGGAATGGTTTAGTCAGGGATGATCCTGCCTTGAACAGGGAGCTGGACTAGATGACCTTGTGTGATTCCTTCCAGCCCTGCTTTCATAGGATCTTCTGATACTACATTTAGGGCAACTACAGAGAAAAAAAAATAAATACTGAATATAGATACTACTAGGGCCAAAATCATGTTTTACATTACTTTTGAAGAGGAACCTGGCTACAAACACATACAAGTAATAACAGCAACAACAATCTGCTGCTCAATTAGATATTCTTATCAGAGGATCTAAAAGCACTTAAAACAGTTGAATATACCTCACATTCTCCAGATAAAATAGGGAAATACATTCATTTCCATTTTACAGGACAGAAAAAGCACAGAGGTGAACTGAGTTGTTTAAAGGGCCAGTCAGTAAAAAAAACTGGGAGTAGTTCCCTTTACCTCTCTCAGTTCCCTGCGTTAACCACTATACATATTCATTTGTGTTAGGTAAATGATTGGTATAAATAATATGAGGAGGACCTATGCACTGGAAACATATGAGAGTTCTGCAGATGCTTACCTTTTTTGGCTCGCTGGCATAAGCAGAAAGACCTGGCTTCACAGATTCAAAGATCTCCCCTTCCAGCTCAGGAAGCTGTTCTGCCCATATGAAACAAAGCAATAAATGAGACAGTCAATCACACCAGGCTCTGCTGCTTCTTAAGATACTAACTAAAGCATTTCACATGAAACCTCCTGTAATGTAAATCCATCCCCCTCCTTCTACAGGCAGAAGGCAGGATGCGGGGCACCTTAGAGACCAACTCCTTCAGAAAGGCATGAGCTTTTGTAGTAATAGCCTATTTCATCATCTGACAAAATACAAAAGCTCATGCTTCTTCTCTGAAAGAGTTAGTCTCAAGATTTCCCCTGCTCTGCTTTCTGCCTGCCTTCAGACTAGCAGGGCTAACTACCTTCCCCCTCCTACAGTTAAAGACAACCATCCCCTGAAAAAATTGCTGTTACCTTTTGCCTGGGGAGATGTAACAGAATGTGACCTTTGTGCCCTCTAAGTTCATGAATGACTAGTTAAAAGCACAAGTTACAATACAAGGCAACACATCAAGAGACAAAGGTCAGTACAAACCTGTATTACTTCAGTAACACTCATTCCTTTTAAATAACTACCTACATGAAAACCTTCAAAAACAGGGCATTTTCTACTATATGAAGCACAGAGGTGGGTAGCCATGTTTATCTGAAGGCAGGCAGAAGGTAGCCCCTCACTTGATGCATCTGTACTATGCCATGGCCTTTCCTTCTGTCCCACTACACAACTCATTATGGTACAGCTATATGGAGACAGCAAGGCTTTTTCCTATCACCTACAACTAAGGGAATATTCCATGACAGAGAGTTATGCAATGATTAACCCACCACAAACCTGACTCGTACACAGCACAGCATTCCTTCTCAACTTCAGCTGAGAGCTGCAGCCCTGCTTTGGCCTTTTATATAAACTGTTTCCATCTCTGTGCCCACTCTGAGATTGCCAAAAAATAGTAATGCATATAAATTACAACCACAGTCCTGCAGTACAGAGACCCAGATTCAGCCTTAAAAAAAAACCACTGATATTTTCATATGATGGGCTGATAAGGGGCTGCCACTGTTGTTATGGACACCTGTTAGTCTCTAAGGTGCCACTCTAATCATGAGGTTCAAAGGACTTGGCATTTATTGGATCAAGAGGGAAGAGATCTCCACAAACACTCCTCTCCACATACTGAGAACGCCCATCTCCCAAAGCTAGCAGAAGTTTCCCAGCTGTTCTCAAACCCTGGGATTGTGCAGTCATCCAAAGAAAGCTAAAGTCTAAGCCAATATATTCAGGGTATGGAACCTCCTAGGCTGGATCCCTAGGAAATGCACCTCTCGGCTGCAATTCTGCCACCTGGCCTTACCTGGGTTCTTCTGTACAAAGGTATAAATGTGAATTCGAGTTCCGGTGCTACCTGCATCAAACATGATGCCATAAAAGGTGTAGGCACTGGCATTGGCAGGGCACATGTTAGATGGAAAGAGACCCTGAAACCACATTTCCTGTTTTGGATGAAGAACAGTGCAGTATATGGAGGACAATGCCAGGACTAGGAAGCCGATGAGCCAGATAGGCGCCATCCTGCAAGGGAACCTTGGGACAGCTGGAGTATGGATCAGCATTCCCAGAGCTGCAGTAGCTCCTAGAAAGAGAAAACAAAGAGATTACCGATGACTTTCTCCTTTGCACATTGGCTTAAAGGAATCTGCCCAGCACAAAAACTTCCCACCTTTAAAGAAAAAGGTGCTCCTCTTGGTTGTCCCTACCCAAGAGGCAGGCTCTACCTTACACAAAGCTGCAACTCCACCTAGTTGGTTTATTCATTCAGAATAAAGGTGTCTTCCTTTTGCTGCAGATATCAGTAGGGGCCAGTTAAAAATCTTCTGAGTGCCAGTATCCTTAATCCTGACTTGCTGCTTGGAACCTTTTCTCTCTCTCACCTGGACCTCAAGATCAGAAGAGTCCCAATTTAACCACCCCAGGGCTCTCCCAAAAGCTCAAGTCTTAGCTGATTCAACATCCCATACAAGTGGAGATCAGGCCATTCTCTCTGCACTATGACACCACGCATGGGATACTGGCGGGGCAAAGAACACAAATGTCATTCAAAGCCACAAACAAAGAGAATTTCATCTGCAGCTGAGAGCAGCTGCTTGGAGAAATCACTGTATGGAGAGAGTACAGGGCACATCCTTCATGCTGTGTGAGGGAAGGCTGAATGGTGCCATACCCCAGACTCCAGTTTCTTAAGACTCCCTCTGTATTGTCCAAACTTCTAAAGGGGAACTTTGCCTTCAGAATGCCCATCTTCTCTGCTTGAAACCAGGCAGGATTGTGGCCAACTGGTTTATCAGTTTGACCTGTTATCTCCCTCTTCAAGGAATTAAAGCTCCTTACAAAGCTTACAATATGCCACCCTTCTTTGTGGTCTCAAAAGCACATGCTTCCATGTTAGGTCTTAAGATTCAACAGCTTCCTTCCCAATACCCTCCACCCTGTTATCAAATCCTCCCTGCAATGACTTCAGAGATCATAAAGTAAGAAAGTAAAGACAGAGGGCCAGGAATAGCACCCCCATTAATCAGGTCTGTAGTTGAAATAAAGAGGAGGAGAATATAGTGGGTTGTATTATTTTTATTATTTGGTAGCAGCAAGAGCATCCAGTCAGGGCCACATTGTGCCAAACAAAGCAGGCGCACACACAAATCAGTAACAACACAACTCAACACTCTCATTCACACACCTCTGCAAACCATGTGCCCATCCCAGTTGTTATTCATATCTGTTTTATGTACTTGCATATCTGACTGTTCTGCCCAAGATCCTCAGCTGCTTCCAGCCCCTATATCTGCCTGCCCCTTACAGATGATCAGATCACCACTTGGTCTGTGTGCACCCTCATGGTCCGCACCTACGCACTCTGCTATGCAGCCATCCCTTCCCAGTCCCTACATCTGTTTGTCCCTCATGTCTTCACATTACAATCTTCACCCAATCTCTGCCTCCACTCCCATGAAGATCACTGCTGAGGGTTCTGTCTTTTGTTACAAGTTTAGCCCTTCCAACAATTTGTCTCCGATTTCAAACCTTCACCTTTGTCCCTAGCTACAGCAGTGACACTTGCAGTAACCATGTTACACTGAGCTGCTCCCCAAATGGCTTTTGTAACTCCATCCACTGCTCCAATTTCTCCAGAGCAGAACACTATGTAGCCTATGGCAGAAGATGAGCAAGGCTCTCCCACTGCAACCTTAGTGAACTGCACTGAAAGTCAAACTATCCTGCTCATAATTCTCTCCCAATGATGATGACCACAGAGAGCTGTGTGCAGCATGAAGTAAGCAGGAACAAGAGTGGCTCCTGAGGACACAGAAAGGGGATTTAAAGATTTCACAAGAGGGCAACAGCACTAGCTTCTCCTGACTGTCACTAATGTGTCTCTATGACACCAGTTCCAAACATAAACAGTTCCTAATCTAATCCTATATTAGGCAAAGATGAGGAGGGGCTCATTCCTAACCTGGAAGAGTTGTTAGTCCTGGCCCCAGCAGAGATCTCAAAAAGGCCCGAATTGTGCAGTAGCTGTGTAGCAAAGCAGCTCCAGGAAGCTGTAGCTGTTGTCAGCAAGAGTAACTGGGAATCTCAACAAAGTGAGAACCTGAGCACTGTGCCCCAGGGTGTCATGTGAGATAAAACTGCATTTGGAAACCCTACCCTTTGACTGGTCCCTTGCTGTGGTGTTATTATGGCACAACAGGGTATTTTGTTACTAATCATACCAGAATTAAAATCTGTGCACCTGCATCAGAAAAGGCTAAGCTGCTGGAAAAGACCTCTATAGCATCTAAAGCATGTGACGCCTGGATCCTTATGTAATGCCTAGAACATGTTTGTTATGAAAATAATCCATCAACTACTACCCTCAACATCATTTGTCTATTGCTAAGTTTTCTAATAAACAGACTTCAGCCTCCTCCTCTATCAGCTTCTCTCTAAACCCCTTCTTTGAACCCTTCCTCAGTCACCCAACCTCAACAGTTATCAGTCACCCCGCCCCAACCTTCCCCATGCCTTCCCTGCTCACTGTCTTTTTTCTCCTCCTTCAAAAAAAAAGTCAGGATTCACTGCTTCTTCACTTCCCACTGGAGTTGTCAGGCTAGTCACTTTGAGACTCTGATACTATGTTCATTCATTGAGGAAAGGTCAGCAAGAGGCTGAAAGAAGTCAGAGAGAACAAGAGGAGGGAAATGGTAGAAGGAGATGGAGAAAGCTAGCTAAAAAGTATGACAGGAGAAGGGAGGTAGCAGGAGTAAGCAGAACTTGTGGAAGGTGCAAAGGGAAAAATTTGTGGCTAGGGTGCAAATCTCAGCTCCTAGGGAAACTTAGAGAGAGATTCACTACCCAGAAACCGGAATTAAGGGTCAATTTTTAAAAATTCATATAACTAGAAAGTATAGCTTATTCACTAGGTAACCCTTCTAAATAATTTGGGAAAAGAACATCCTGAAATGATCCTGTATCACTGTTAGCAGGGAACATTTAAATCATTCAAACACTTGAAGGGGTAGTGGCTGCCTCTGTGCTAACAACCTGTCCTGTGGTAACTATTTCCCACCATTAACTTCATTAAGATTTACATCTTCTGGTAGAGGTTTTCTAGATAATTAGACCTGGTCTAGATGCTTGGTTCTTGTCTTTTTCAACAAAACCACTAATTAGTATTTGTATCGCATTCATATCTAGAAGTCATACCTGACTGAACCATATTATACCAGACACTGTATGTATGGCAAAGGCAGTCTGCCAAATAGCTTTCCATATGAGTAACTTAAGAAAAGATGTGACATGAGTAAACCAAACAAGTAAGGGGAGAGGGAAGGAAAAGAGCAGGAAAACAGTAATATGAGTGTATGCTACACAGGCTAAAGGAGGATGCACCATTGAACAGAGGACATAAGCAGATCAGATTGCTTCCTGCCTATCAGTCATCGGATGGCAGCAATAATTACAGTATTAATGAAACATAGAGTACCTTAGCTACATACCTCAGACCAAAAGAATCCAGGGTAAGACTTAAGTGATTGCTCCTATACCTCAAAGCTCCCTGACAACAGCTGGAAAGATATGACAAGGGACACTGCCTGCACTTAACTCTTCTTTATCCCCACTTTCAACTAACGAGACAGGCCTCTTCACCACTGAAGCTGCTAGACTAGGCAAGCTGTTCTTTATTAGTTTGAGTTTATTGATTGCTGCCAACAAAACATCCCCAGGTCCCTAGTCATGCCAGGGGGGCAAATTCCAGGCAACTAAAAGTTCAAGGGAACTCAATAAATTAGTAAAACATTTAACAAACTGAGAGAGAGTTCATTTCAACAGCACAAGCCTGAACTCATTGTTACACAAGCTGGAAATGCCTATGCTTAGCTACAAACACTGGTAGAAAGCATCAGCACAGGGCAGAGTTACAAACTCTAGGTCTAAAGTACAACCCATGTGAAGGTCCAGGAGCAGATTCTATAGTTCTAGAGTCTGCAGAGATGGAAAGAACCACCAGGCTGGAGGTGAGAAAAGATCCTCAAACGGTGGAGGGAGAAACAAGGCTGTCTCAGTTGGGACTGAACATGAAGCCCCAGGGTAGCAAAGACTACAAAATACAGCCCTTTCTTCAACACTATTACACAGAAACATCAGCAGTGTCCCAAGGCAACTATCTGGTCTACACATCCCCTACAGAGAAACATGCAATGTCCTAGGATTTTGCAGCGATCTCTAAAAACTTTGGAACATCAGGAAGTGCAGGGAGCCCCACCATTGGTCCCAACAAAATGTAACATTTTAGACACTGAAAAGCAATTAATTTGGACCCAGGGTCCAAACTGGGCGCCATAGAAACAGTTAAAATATCTAAGGCTCCCCAAAATATTTTAGGAGATAAAACATAAAAACTATATAATCCATTTCAGGTGCATGTTTATTTCTCCTATGCCAAAATCACCTGTCTAGGACTAGAAAAGGATAGTTTAAAGCCCATCATGTACTTTAAATTGCTGGAGCAAAGCCACATAGTCAACGTTGCAGTCACCTAGCACAGTTGGTGGGGCAGGGAACAGATGAGGTTTAAAGGAGGAAAGTGACACACCAGGTTAATACAGAGGGGGACAAAGCTTGGGACAAGTGACGTACCAGGTGGGTTTGTGTGCAGCTGTTCTACGAGGGAGATTCTTCTGCCTGAGCTGAGTGTTCTTGCTTTGTTTCTTGATGTTCAAAGGTAAGTCTGTGCTAAAAAGTGGTGCTAGCAGCACTTACAGCAGACAAGACCTTCAGCTGGTGCATGCCACAATGCAAAGAAGAACTCAGATGAAGGCTGGTTCTAATCACATCCCTCCCACCTGCATCTCTAGACTATCTTTGCTCTCGCCTGTGTCACGTGGGGGAGTGATCCTAGCACATGGGCCCTTTCTGCAGCAAAGAGACAGCAGATCTACCTTGAATCGGGGGCAGAGGAAGGACATTTCTGCTATCATCAACTGTATCCTAAACACACAAAGCACTGAAGTCTTGAGGACTGTGCCATTACTAAGCCCTAGACTTCAAAACTGATTAAATCAGACACAGCAGGAAACTAATTTTCAAAAAATT